GTGCTAAAAAGCTCCCAGACTGTAACTCACCCACACACTGGTTCCACTGGTAGTGCTGCACGTAACCCTGAGGACAGCCACAGCGGAACCCTCCCAGCATGTTCTGACAGCCGTGCTGACAGCGATGGTTACTGCTGCACTCATCCACGTCTAAAGGAGCGAGAAAATAAACTCAACCATTTTCTTTTTTAAATTTTTTTTTTAACTGAACTACGTCCAACTAAATGTAAAATAAACGTCAGGTCTGCTCACCCTCACACTCCAGGCCTGAGCTGTCCAAGGAGAAACCTTTGGAGCATTCACAGTTGAAGCTTCCAGGTGTGTTGACACAAGAGGCTCGAGAACCACAAGCGCTGGTCTGGGCCGAGCACTCGTTGTTGTCTGCAACAAAACCAAACCAAAGAAATAATGATAATAATAAAAAAACGAATGCCTATATAAATTTTTACAGCTTTCTCTTATTCTGTGCTGATCTGGACTTGGACTCACCAATGCAGGCGGTCTGATGCTGAGAGAAGCCAGGAGGACACTTGCAGGTGAAACCTCCGATGGTGTTAACGCAGAGGAACTGGCAGTTGTGCTGCTTTGTTGCACATTCATCCAGATCTTAAGAGACAAAAAAAAAACGTTCCAACACTTAATGAAGCCTAAACCCATGATAAGCCTGCAGATGTTAAACTGACTATTTACCTTTGCAGGTTTTTCCATCTGGTTGCAGACTGTATCCCCTGGGGCAGGAGCACAGGTAACTGCCTTCGGTGTTTTTACACAGGAAGTTACACGGCTTCGGAGACAAAGAGCACTCATCCATGTCTGAAACATACACACACACACACACAAAAAAAAAAAAAAAAAAACTTGAGCGGAGATGTTAAAGGGGCAATATCATGTAAAATCAACATTTTTGAGTTTTATATCTTGTTATAATGTTATCCTCTCATTAAAAAACATGCCCAAAGCCTTGCTCTGACTCATTCATGCATGTCTGAGAAATCCTGCAGCGTTTTTAGGCAGCCATGCTGAGGAGCAAAACGACAGGTGGGGACCAGAAACGCCTTTTGGGACCAGAAATGCCCCTGGGATGTGTCTTTAAGCCAAACTTCCTCATCACGGAGCACACCCCCACCCCACACACCCCACCCATGACTCCTGCAGGCTCTCGGCAGTAACAGAGCAAACGAGTGAAAGTGAAACTTAAACTGTCTGCTGCTCTCAACACTACTTCTCACTCACTGAAGCTCTTTTCAGATTCAAAACACCTTTGAGGAAATGTATTTTCAGATGCTAAGTGTATTTTCAGATATCAAGTAAACTGCATCGTAGCGCACGTGCGAAACCTGCCCCACTCCCTGCACTGAAATGGACGGGACAGAAGCAGAAGGAGGTTCTTAAAGAGACAGAGGCCAATTTCAAGGCGTTTACAAGAGGAAGTGATGAGAAGATAAGCTTATTTTCTATTAAAACATAAAAACAGCATTTTAGTACCAACTAAAGGTGACATAAATACTTTATTATGGTATAGTATTTAAATATACGCCAGAGAAACACATGATATTGCCTCTTTAAAGAAGCTTAAAACCCACTAAAAAAAGAAACAATATGACAGATGAGTCTTACCAACGCAGGCGGTTGCAGTGAAATCAGCTTTGTAGCCAACGTTGCAGTGGCAGCGGAACGATCCGATGCTGTTGATGCACTGACCATTACGGCACAGATCTGGCAGCACCTGACACTCGTTGATGTCTGGAACAGTAGGATGTTCTGACTTTTAAACGGGATCTGCTGTCTCGCAGCATTTCACAGCAACAGTAAAAGGGTTTTCTTTTTTAATTCCCTGTCATTTGGTTTCCCCTCCTCACCTCTACCATCTGTGGTGTATCCAGGTCCAAGCGGACACATCTTCTTGTACTGCACGGTGCCGGGGAGTGGGCACAGCTCACACTGGGACCCCCAGCCTCGACCCGCGTTGCAGCAGCACTCAGACTTGGTCACACTGTTCCTGTTGGTTGATGACTGCTGGCACATTGTCGCCAGAGCCTCTGTGTAACAGAAGCCTTTCCTGTTGTCTAAAAGAAAAGAAAGAGAGACGTATATATAAACTGACTTATTTGGCTTTTTTTGGGGGGGTGCTCAAGCAGGATCTCTGCCAGCAGGATCGTCTTACCGATACATTCAGTTCCAGTTGAGCTCGGCTCAAAGCCGTCGTTGCACTCGCAGCGGTAGCTCCCCACGGTGTTGACGCAGCGACCGTTCTTGCAGATGCCCGGTTTGGCGCGGCACTCGTTCAAGTCTGCAGCGCAGAACGAGGATGAGAAGAGGAAAGACGAATAACTCTGTGCTGTTCTGGAGCGGGGTCACTCACCCATGCATCCCTCTCCATCCGGCCGTCGCTGCATGCCAGGAGGGCAGATGCACATGAAGGTTCCTATCAGGTTTTTGCAGGTCATGCCTTTAGAGTCGCAGTCATCCAGACCCTCTGAGCACTCGTCTTGATCTGTTGAAGGGCAATGTAAAGTGACCATGTAAAAAAACTGAGCATTTTGTTGTAAAAATATAAAACAAAGACGTCTTGACTGTTCATAGACTTTAGTATTTGATTTTATTCGTTTATGCTAAGTTTCAAATGCTAAACAAATATTCTTAGAAACAATTCAAAGTCAAAACTCGTGCAATAAGTGAAACAACAGATACCAATATAAGTTAGATTTCATCATCAAACGTGTCCTGAAGGTGCCTTAATCTGTGGGACTTATAGGGTAAAGAGTGTAAAATAAAATGTAAAAAAAATGTCACTAACACATTTTCATTATTTAGCTCACTTTAAGTGTAAAATCCTCGTTAAAAAACTCCACTAAAAGCTTATAGCTATTCAGCTCACTTACATAATACTTAAATTTTATGTCTAAATGTGYAAATCTAAATGTAAACTTTAACATTTAGCCACAACATTTAAGTAGTTCAGAATGGAACACAGCCTTTGATGTTGGCGCGTGGCTCGTGATGAYGTCATCATCCCGAGACAAAAGCAAATGCTAACACTGCTAACATTGCTAACTCTGCTAAYGCTTCCCTACAAGAATTCAACCTTGCAGTGAAAGTGTCCGAACCGCACGGACCACAGGCACCATCCACGTTCTTTTCAATTAACACATTTTGAATTTAGATTTTAAATGCCATCTTTGAAATGGAATGATACGTGTTGATCTGTCCTTATTTAGGTCAGGTTATAAGATATTCATCTGACCTGATGACATCAGGTCAGTGTGTTTTATTCTCTTTTGATCATCAGCAGATAGTGATGTTTAATTTCCAGGACAAGATCTGATGAGAGTAATCACTTGTCATTGTAATTTATCACTGTTATTTTTCTTTTCTTTTGGCCTCAGCACCTGGGAGTGACATTATGATCTGATCTGTATGTTGAAACAGTATATAAAGTTGCCCATTAGAGCTGTCTGTTAGCAGAGATYTTAAAAGACAGCCTGATGGCTCTGTGTTAACTTCTGTATTCTTGTTTATTGCAATAAACAACCTCAGCGGACCATTCTATGAAGTGCCTTCATTCTTTGAATCACGTATTTCTGTCCTTATTAAATAGATAAATCCACAACAATCTTCGACAGCGTTAGTGTTTGCTTTTGTCGCAGGAGGATGACGTCACAAGTATCACGCTGTTCTATTATGAAATTCTTAAATATAAACTTACAATTTTATTTTTACATTTAGATTTACACATTTAGATTTAGGATTTAATATTTACATATAGAAAAAAAATCTAAGACCAGTCAGATAAATGACAATAAAATGTTGGTGGAAATGTTTTAAGGGTTTTACGTTCTGAGCTAAACAATAAAAATGTGTTAGTGTTATTTTTTCCACTTCGCGCCTCAGCTCTCAAATGAATAAAAACACTGATGTTTCTTTTTTAACACACTGAAACCACAACATTAAGTAGAAAAACTAAACTGAATGGAAGAAATGTGGTCCAAGTTAAGTAGATAAACTGTAGACATTGAGAAATAAATCAAAAACAACATGACACCCTCTCACCTCTGCACATCCGCTGGTCATCTCGCAGCACATACCCAGCTGGACACATGCACTCATAGGAGCCGAAGGTGTTCACGCAGCGGAAAGCGCAGAGCAGAGGATTCTGGGAGCACTCGTTAATGTCTGGAGTCGAGAAGAGAAGCAGCAAGGTTTTCATTTGCTGCTGTTGTTGCATCATCATTAAAAAAAAACAGTGACATTTCCATCATTCAAGCTGCGGACCTTCACAAGTCATCATGGGTCCGGGCTCAAAGCCCTCCTGGCACGAACACTCAAACCCTCCCACCACATTGGTGCAGGTTCCATTTCCACATGGGTTTCCGATGGAGCACTCATCAGTGTCTGAARAAACCAGAGAGCAGGAGAAACACAATCAAATCTGTGAACTGAGCTCTACAGCTTTTATTAGCAGTACTGTGTAAATTCATAGCAAAAATCATCTCACCGATGCAGTTAACTCCTGTGTAATCCAGATTATATCCGAAGGGACATTCACATCGGAAAGAACCGTCTGTGTTGATGCAGATGCCGTTCTGACAGATTCCAGGGTTATCCAGACACTCGTTCATATCTACACACAAAAAAAAAAACAGAATTATCTTATTTTTTAACAACTCTATCAAAAAGCACTTCTCCTTTTTRTCTTTGTGTTTAAGGGGTCAGATGACCGCTGCGACCCTCACCCTCTCGAGTATCACCCAGTCCAGGCAGAGCTCCATGACCGTAGGGACACAGGGTGTTAAAAGCAGCTGGAAAACCAGTTAAAATAAATCAGTTTYAATAAATTTGACACTGTGCACACKTTATGAAGCAACAAGCGGCTGTTTTGCGCACCATCAGTCTCTCGTGGGCACAGCTCACAGGGAAGACCCCAGCCCTCTCCGGGCATCTTGCTGCAGCAACACTTGGCCTTGGTGGTGTTGAAGGCTTTGGGGACGGAGCATTTTCCCGCCTCGAACTTGGTGAAACAGAAGCTCTCTCTGGTGTCTGTCAAGAGAAACACAACCTTCCAGTGAAGTCACGATTAAATTATAATCTTGGACTGTGCTGCACGTAGCTGTGAGCCGACAGCTTCCCTTACCGTAGCAGCGCAGCTTGTTGTCAGACAGCACGAAGCCCGGTTGGCAGGAGCACTGGAAGCTGCCGGGAGTGTTGGTGCAGGTGCCAAACTGGCAGATGTTTGGCTCCACTTCACATTCGTTGATATCTGAGAGAAAAAATGAAGAGGGGAAYGATAAGTGAGAGTGTGTATGCTGTGAAAACCTGCAGACATTTCACTTCATTTGTCTCCTTTTGTCTTACCTATACACTGCTCGTTCTGCACTTCATAACCAGGAGGGCAGATACATCTGAAGGATCCRTCCAGATTCTGACAAGTTCCTGGGGAACATGTCCCGGGAAGGCTGATACACTCATTTATATCTAAAAAGAAAACAAAAAAATGTTTAAAATGTCTAATAGATGTGGGGTGCCAAATGTAAAATAAATGTAAAAAAAAATGTCACTAACATATTTTCCTTATTAAGTTCACTTTGAGTGTAAAATCCTGGATAAAAAATTTCCACTAACATTTTATTACTTAGTTCACTTCTCGTACATTTTGCACATTTTTACTAAATGTTGAATTTAAATACAGTATATAAATAATAAATCTTAAATATAAATGCATAAGTTATACGTAAATGAAGTTTACATTTAAGTACATCGAAATGGAACCTTGCCGTTGGTGCACATCTTTTGTTCTGACGTCATCAYTCCGCGCCAAAAGCAACCRCTAACRTTGCTAACRCAACTAACGCAGCTACAAGACATAAAACTTGCAGTTGCAGCCGGTGTCTGAGCTGCCCTTCAAAATTTCAGAACACAGGTACCATCCACATTGTTTTCAATGAACACATTTTGAATTTGGATTTTAAATGCCACCTTCAGCAGCGTTAGCAGAGTTAGCGGTTGCTTTTGTCTCACAATGATGACGTTACCAAAAAAAGGCAGAGCATTCATTCCAAATTTTTTAAATGTAAGATTTTTAGCAGTAACATTTAAGATTTAACATATAGCATTTAGTAAAAATTTGCAAAATGTAAGAACTGTGAGCTAAATAGCAAAMTGCCAGTGGAAACTTTTTAACTAGGATTTTACACTCAGCAAGTCAGCTAAATAACAAAAATGTGTTAGTAACGTGTTTTAACATTTTATTTACACTTGGCACCCCATAAATAGATGCTGCATATTTGTTGTTACTGTCATGAATTCAAATTACCGATGCAGTTCTTTCCATCAGGTGTGTTTTCATAACCCTCGTGACAGAGACACTGGAAGGATCCGAGCCCGTTGATGCACTGTCCGTTTCTGCACACTTGGCCCTGGAAGGCAAAACACTCGTCCACGTCTGTGAGATAAAGAAGAAGAATGTTGTGGTTCAAATGCATAAATAATGCAAGGTCTTCTTAGAAGTATTCACTGAAAATAGTAACATGCTCATGAAATAATTTTTATTTAAAAATATCACATCTTAAACTTTTCCTACCCATGCAGTCGTTGTTGTGTGTTAGCTCAAAGCCGGGGAAGCAGAGACAGTTGTAGGACCCCACCGTGTTTTTGCAGGTGCCATTCCCGCACGGCTGTCTGTCACACTCATCGATATCTAAAATATGAGCAAAAGCCACATTTAAAACATTCTGCAGCTGCAACAAACATTTTATCGAACTAAATGTGTGTTTTTAGGATTGAGCTCCTCACCCATGCACATCGTCTGATCGATGGAGGCTTTGAAGCCGTTGTGGCAGAGGCAGCGATAACTGCCCTGCGTGTCGATACACTGACCGTGGCTGCACACGTTGGGAATCTCCTGACACTCGTTACGATCTGGGAACAAAACAAAACGGTATCKACTACAAATTTGAATAATTCAAGATTAATTTTTCTTTTTATCTGCTAGAGTGAGTTTATTTGGGCTGAAATTCCAATTAAAACACATAAACTTGGTTATATTTTCAACTGCTTAAATACTTCTTGTACTTTTCATCCCAAAAGGCAATTTTAAGCTCCTGTGTCTCCTGAAGATGTCTACCAGGGATCAGAAAAGACTGGAAAGTGACAAGGAGATGAAAATCTGGGTATTGTTTTTTTTTTTGTTTGTTTGTTTGTTTGTTTGAGGATACTCCAAACTACTTATATCATGATTTATTCTTAGTTAATTTTATATAGTGATGTTGAAAAATAACAGATAAAAAGCTGGACAATTAAATAATTTCAGGCAATTTAGTAACTGTCTCTGATGCAGGAATTATTATTATTATTTTATTTTTCAGACCTTTTGTGTAGACATAAAATATACAGTAGAACACAGCAAATTAAAGGGGAAACATAATATAAAACTACATTAAATAATCATTTACAAGGAAATTCCAATCAGTTTCCTTCATAAAGGTATCCTCAGACTATGTATTGTCCTAAATCAGATATGTACAGTACATTAAAGCAAAGTTAAAGATATTAATATTTTTGTCACGATAAAAATAAACTCTAAGCTGGTTGAATTTGATGTTGTGTGTTAATCTTACCTGAATGTTTTGGGTTTTTTTTTAAGTTTCCATTTTGTGTTTATATATTCTATTTTTTTAGCAAATTGCTGCCTTATGTTCACTCGGGTTCTTATTGTTCCCATAACCACAAACTCTGTTTGTTTTTGTGTTTTACGTTTTTTTTTTTCTCACATCTTCTCCACAGTTACTGCTTTGGTGTTCTAAAATGAAAAACTTGCGTTCAGTCCGTCAGAGAGGCCGAACTCACCCAGACAAGCCCCGCTGGGTGACAGTTTGAAGCCCTGCGAGCACTCGCAGCGGTAGCTGCCTGGAATGTTGATACAGTTGGCGTTGCGTTGGCACAGGTTGTCCCCGCTGTTACATTCATCAATATCTATGAAGGAGGGAGAAAGGCAGAAAYGACGGGACATCAATCACAGGTTCTGTAACTGTCGGATCAGAGTGGGCTGTCAGATTGTGGACAAGAAAAAAAACATGACTGAGGTGCCAGTTTGATTCTGGTCGTTGCCAGAATGACTGATGGTTCTTTGGGTAATCCTATTCAGAGCAAACACATTTGCCTTTACAAGGACATAATTCATATTAATACAGCAGCATTAACTTCAGTGAGTACTTGGAAAGGAGGGTGAAAGTCACTATGTTTATGTGAGTGTATATGGTTTTGTTTGTGTGTGTGTGTGTGTTATTATAATTAAACCTATAAATAGGAGTGTCAGAAGACAGTGATGTATACAATATGAGATGTATTAGTACAAGCAGTTACTTCGTCAAAACAAGGGTGACTGTGTAGAAAAGGAAAGCACTTTGTGTATGTGTGTGTG